TGCCTATAATGATTTTCTTTTTATCTTACTTTTCATTTCTTACCCTAGAAATTTTACAGCATCTCCTTACCTTTGCAGATTTACTGGTTACCTTCAAATCGCTTAAACTTTTTGCATCTTTTAATCTTCAAAGTTGAATATAAAAGCGGTCTACAAATCCTGAAAAGTTTTAAGGAGTGGCCATATCCAAATGAATTTTAGTCACGTCGCCGGTAAACCGTCTGACTTACTGTGGACCCATTTGTACAATAAATTTGAATGTTCTTATGAAACTTTTTCGTGAGTAGGATGATATGATAATCTATACAAAAGCTCCATAAACAACTTTCCGTTGCAGGGTTTTTCTAACGAACTGGTGTATTCGTGAGACTGATTCGCTCCTTATCTAAATTGGGAGAGCGGTTAGCCCGGTCTGGCAAATTGGTGCTGGTTCGAGTCCAGCTGGATTGAAATAATTTTTCTGTGATTGTTCGATCTCTGTATTAATAATAACACCATACTAGTATAGTATGTTGATAAAAAAATACATATTATTCAATAAAATAATAATATTGCCATTAATAAAGCGACATCTCTTGTCAGCCGCTGGTAGCTGTAAAGGTATATATATACCTGCCCGAGAAAACATTTTGAATAGGTGTATGTTATGCTTTTTTAACCGACTTCAAAAAAAGGATGGAAGGAGGTTCTCAATTAGACTATATGTTTTTTTTGTATGTATGTTACGGGATAACTCCGGTGTTCGTGAACCGATATTCATGATTATTTTTTTGTAGGAAAGAGGGTACTCCATAGTGGTCCCATTTAATTTTGAAGAAAATCATCCACCTTTAAGGTTGGCTGTTTACGCATGAAGATTCATTTTTATAAATAGCGCCTAAATTTTATTACAAGGAGCAATTATTTTAATGGTTGATTTTGCTGTTCTCCAATTCAAGGCGTTTTTTTCTCTCAATATACTTTGAGTAGTGAGAACAAATTTTTATTATCTCCTGTGTCAAGTCTCGTATAGTGACGAACTAGGGGATGAATCCGGGTTTGCGCACTTTCCGGTAACCGATTTCAATAAAACTTGGTAACTATATGTAATTCTACGTACTTTTGAAGTCGGTTTTTTAATACTCTGTACTGAGATTATATAGCCATGGAAATGCTGAATAAAATGGCGAAGTTATCTTGGAAACTGGAATAGTAACTGTAGTAACCATTAGTACAGGCAGTTGGAAAAAGAATGTTTCTAAGTGGTTTCTTAAATTGCTTGAGAACCCTCTAGAGAATTTGTCTGGGTTAAAATTTATTGCGAGGCTAATAGTGCTGCCAGATGTGGTAGTGTTCGCAACGATTTTGGATACAAATTGTTCATTGTAATCTTAGTCCAAATATACACGGTGTGTCACGGCCATGCTACATGGAGGGAAAGTATTTGAAAATTGTATATACCAGTATGACATTTTGCTTCATGGAGACATATTTTATTTTTAAAAGTTGGTAAATATTACTGCATTTAAACCACTGCCAGACACGGGTCTCCTCTAAGTCGAAGTTTTTTAGGCCATGGCCCTGGCGCTGGTCCAATGCTGGTTGGGGACGTCACACGTTACACGTCACCGAGGGTTGTGAAGGATATTTTCCTTCACCGAAAAGCGTGATAAATTTCAAATTACATTTCGTACATAAATTCCGACAAATTCAGAGGTGCCATCCCGGATTGAAACCTACGGCCTCTACATAAGAGATGATAGTATTTATTTATTTATTTACAATAATATTAAATTTACTTTCCCTCGGTGTCTCATATCAGTGGGACAACCTGTATAAATCACCCTGTTTATAGCGGAGCGGAACGTGTGTGAGTAAGTATAGTGTGCATTTTATTGTGTACCAGTGCAGTAGTATGTATAGTTTACTCAGGGAATAGCATTTTCTTAAAGATTATTTCAAAGCTAAACAGAAAAAATTAACAATTGTGTACACGACTGTAAACTAAATATTTATGAAATTATTAACGTTTCGTGGTAAAATTATGTAACAGTTCACGAAATTTATACTGTAGCGAACTAAAACGGGTAACATTTTCCGGTATTTTAGGAATAATCTAGAAACTAGAGGGACATTTTGAAATTGCTCCGCGAAATGGTATCATTACTTCATTATTATTATATGGAACCTGCCTATAACATCAAGAAGAACTGGAACACATTCTAATAATAATATGTGCCAGACAACAACAGCAAGGCTCTGGTCTCAAACTAGGAAATCCAAAAAAAACTAGGGAATTGTACTTGTACCAGAGCAACAGAATTCTTGGGCACTTCCTAGAATACCCAGACCAGAACCAATTTAAAAAAGTTCATTTACCAAATTGGTCCTACCGGGAATGGAACCCAAAATCTTCTTAACGCCTATAATGTAAAGCGTTGGATCATCGAGGTTGCCAAATTATAGTGATTAATATAGAAATTATATCCAAATTTCCATAATTCCCAAAATAAATCATAACGTTGTAATAAAAACCACCAGAGTCGAAGAGATCTCACATCGCCTATACAAATTTTCTAGACAGTGTAATTAAAAGACACACGTACTTCATACGTAAGTACGAGTATCTTCAACGAGGTCCAGATAGTTCACAACAAATCAAGTTACGGTTTCTTAAAAGAAATTATCCCAATTACCGCAGCTATAACCAATAAATTCTAACCACGTTGCTAACACAGGACAATGCCCAAAAACCCATTTATGCTCTTATACCATAGTAACATCATTTTGCGAGAAAAACACAAAAATATTATACAAAAAGGTACACTTTGCTGTTACAGAATTTACCCCACTTACAAGAGTTCAATGTCTGAACATAAAAAGGTTTACCCTCTCGGTCAAAGAGCAAAGGGTTTTGGCAATCAATCTTTAATATTGACAGGCGCTAAGGAATACGACACAGAATGTGTCCAGTGTAGATAAATAAATGTCGTTTAGGACCCTTGTCAATACTGGGATGACGTCATTTGAATCGAGATTCGAATTACTTTTTCGATTGTGATCCGACTGCATATTAAAATCTTTACATTATCGGTAGTCTGGGTACACATCTTACAGCGGGAGAGAGTATATGAAATGGTATAATACCTACATAGGAATCACGCTGATCAAAGTTTACAGAGTTAGCTACATAAACATTACTTTTCTAAACAACAAATTTCAACGCAATGTAAATGACGTACAATTTTGACATTTTCTATAATACTATCTTAAGTTGATCTATTCAATTCTCCTTGTCATAAACAATGCTTTAACATTTTCGTAACTTTCGAGATTTTAGGACGTAAAGCTTTTTCTTTGAAAAATATGAATTACTTACGTTGAACTTGCTTAACAGTAAAACTGGAACTAAATAAAATATTAATAAACTGCGTTCAGGGGGTTGTAGACCTTTTTTCGCTGATTCCAGATATGTTAATGACAAAATTTTACTAAAAATGTCCATTATGTTGTTTTTGATAAAAGACGGCAGCATTAAAAACGATACTTTAACGAAAACCAGAGGTGCAGTAAAGAATTTATATACGCTAAATCTCATCATCATTCTATCAACATCATCCTATTATCACATCCTATTTTGTTCACTCCACGCCATTTCTTCTCTCTTTCGTTTTTCTACCAGCTTCCCCTCAATTATAATACATGAAAACGCACCTAAATTGTAATCTCTATAAATAATTGCAATAACCCACCACGAATGCACACGATATATGCTATATATATATATATATATATATATATATATATGTATATATATTTTTCTTTTTTTTTTTTTTTTTTTTTTTTTAATAGGATATTAATCGGAAATTATTATACACAAAGAAAAAGATATGATTGAGGTTCCGCACAGTAATAATTTTGCTTACGAATGAATTACGGACGTGAGAACTCTAGCAGGTGACAAGAGCTGACATAATATAGGGATTCTCGAACCCGTATGTAGACAGTGATGAATGAAAACATAGGCCAATGCACTATGAAATAAGGGTCATTACGTGTAAAGACTGAGTAGAAGAGAGTAAAATAATTATATCAGAAGAACATTGATGTAAAATTTATTAGGTTGAATAAAACAACGGCAAACATGAAGAAACAAGAAAAGTGGAATTTATTGACAATAAATACAATTCATAACACAAAAGGATTATATTACTTAAAAATACATAGTAATTACTGTAATTTTCTTATTACGATGAATGTGAGAGATACTTAAAATATATAATAATATCTTTTGATATATAATACATAATAATATCTTTTGATTCTCAATGAAAACAGATAACATTAATAAACACTTCGGATGTGGAAAAGTAAATGCATGAATGGACGAAAAACAATAAACGTAGCATACAAAATAGAGCGCTCATCAAACTACGAACTTTGAATTACTTTTCCCGTAAACGGCTACCCATTCAAAGTTTTGGGCAACACTTTTGGGGGAGTTAACGCAATCTGATAATAATAATGCTTCAGTAGATTAAAATTTACCCACACAAGAACATGTAACAAAAATGGATACCTACAAAGGCTGTTGACATAATACAGAGCATGCGCACAACTGATATTATCCATAAACAATGAATACTGCACGATGGGGCCCTCAGAAACCTTCTGAGTTAATATTAAAGCTAGGAAGACAAATACATCTTCAAATTGTTATACGAAAAATGTTTTAGCACGTGAAGATATGAATTGTATGATAATGAAAATTGTTGAGAGAACGTCTATTTATATTTTTAATACAACAAACAATTTTCGACTAACTACTTCAGTAGATAAGTATCAACAATTCGCGAATATAATGTTTACTGCAAACAAAATTTGTATATGCTTTGTAAACAATCAATATATATTATTGGCTATAAATTAAGAGCCAATTTATTTGCTCGCAAGAAACAAAGCAGAGCTTTGAAGCGTCTAAATTAGATTTAACAAGAGATTCAATCGAAAACAGAACTCACCGAAAACACTCCATCGTCGGCGTGAATTTTATCATTACAATCATCCTTGATGTGGCTTGTTTGTTCTCAAAACATCGCACCAAAACTGTTATCAGTAATCAAAACACTTTCACTGTTGCTCGAACTTGCACAGACAAAAAATATCCGAACGATCCGGCCGGCTACACTGAAACTGTCAAAATCACGTGGCCGGTAGATACATACACGGCAAAATTAAAGTATTCGCGTGCGCGCTAAGGCGCATGGCATTTACGTAGCATATTATTCATGTAACGGACTAACCTCCCACACAGTTCGTGAAGAACTAAGAGCGAGTAAGCGCAAGTTGAACGTGCACGTGGTAGCTTACGCGACGTCCGCCCTTCCATAGGAACGTTGTCTGCCGAATGTCGACTTTCTCCTAAGGCCCGATGATGCCTTTTTGCCTAAATGAATGGCGGATCGCCGAGATGAGCCGGAATATGGGACGATACACACAGAATATTTCCGTAGCGTTTGGTGTGCGTATAATGAGTGCGTAAAGTGCATTTTACTGTATTTTCGCCGAAATATGTCTACGTTTGCTGCATTGAAATTGATTTGGACGATTGAAAAGCAAATTAGGTTCTTAGAATATAATAATTTAATTATATTTGCAGACAGTTCAGATTCGAGCAAAATGAAATTCGCAATAAATGGAAAGACTTTCCTTTCATTTAAAACGTAAAAATTAAGTGATGAAAGTAGATTGATACTTTTAGGAAAAGTCTCAAAATATTCTTAACATAATGTTATTAATTTCGGGTTTTAGGCTATTTGAGCAAACTGTTAATGCTCAAAGTTTAAGTAACTAAGCACGTACTTTGTCGCTAATGTGTAAAGTTTGACCGCTAAATCTTTGATAATGAGTTGTCAAACCACGCCCGTTTAGTAACATTGAATGAAACGTGATAATAATATTAAATTTCCTAAGACACGATAGGAACGGTGTAAAATCCAAAGTGTCAAGCTTGAACCGGTCTTGTACACAAAAGTTGTTCTAATTTCACGAGTCTGCCTTCTTTTGTAGTCTTTAATATGACTTATACCGCTTCTTAAGTAGTTTTTTGTAACAGCATTTCATACCCGGACAATTCCGGTTTTAAAACAACATATTGTTACAATCCCCCTTGAAATTTGATACGGATATTTTCTGAGTGATAAAAGAGGCATCCATTGTTCTCGGGATATTGAAAAAGTTTCTTCCTATAACCATCACTTCCTTTTGTCTTGTTTTAAAGGATTATTTCGAAACTTAGTGGGCAGTTTGGTTTAATCTCTTCACGCTTTGCTGGTGGCGTTTCTTGCTCTTTATTGTTTTATATCGATTTTTATATTTTTTATGAAATTAGATCAGCTGTAGAGCTCCTAGTGGAAGAGTTCAGGGACGTACTACGACCTTACCTATTTCTGCCACCAAGCAGTAGTGCGTTCCTGTTTAAAGTTGTATGGGTATAAAGGTACTGGTGAAATTACAAGTACATAGGACTTGTCAACCTATGTCTCAAGTCTCAAATCTTTGCTATTTAAAGTACTGAGCGGCTCTGCAACGGTTATGGACAGGCGTGTCACTTACCACCAGGCGCACCACTTGTTCGTCCCGTCAATTGGACTACTATCGTAAAAAAAGATCAAAGGCACCACAGGATTCCTTTCTCTTGTTTTTATAGTATCAAATTAAATAGCAATTTTGTTGTAGGGTATTTTTATAAGACCTCTAATGGAGTTTTCGTGTAAATCGATAAATTAATGATAACACAAATAAATACAAGAAAAATCGTATACTCTTTATCTATATCGAATTTGCATTTGAAAGTAAGTAAACTCCCTAATGTGCGTTTGGACAGCGAGACCGACTATGAATGAAAAACTCTCTTTAGAAGAGAACCATGCTCTGTAGTTAGGATGTATTTGTTGACAATGACAGTGATGAGAAATCGACATTTCAAAATTTCAAAAAGTCTAATCCAGTTTATTTGGAGTGAAAACGGACAATTTAATATAAAAACAAAATTTTTAATTTATTTACCTTTATCAAAAGAATTGTTTTTTATATTCTTCATAAATACTAACTCACAATAGAAGATGGGAAGTCAAACTGTCACTTTCTTTCGAAACGAACGTTTATTGAGACGCGTACACAAATATTGATATCACGCGTCAGTGTGAATGGCATAGAAAATACCTTATGTCCCAGTAAAAGTTAGAAAACTGACCAACATTTATTAGATCTATTCGGATAGGTCTATATTTATTTTGCCTCATTTTCTCATTACTAATTTAAAGTAAATCTTATTACTAAACATTGAGATCCAAAAAAATATATACCTATGAAGATGTAATCATTTACGTTCTACAGTGCTTTACCATTTCGAACATTCTTGGTTTGGAAGGGTCTAGCGTTAATATTGTCAATATTCTATATACCAATTACGAAATCACAGCTCAAAAGCCGGTCCTTTATGTTATTATTATTATTATTATTATTGTTTCTCTAAAAGGTTATCTCGGGTCAAAACGGCCCGGTCCTTTGGTATGATTGCTTAGAGACATCGGCCCAACTCATTATAAATGGGAGATAAATGCGATAAATTCGAGTTGATAGGTATTGGCGCACCTCCTTATTCCAGATTGTATTTAATCCAACACGTATACCTAAATGCTACATTGGAACTTCAAGTACATGTATAAATTTTCATGTTTTATTAATCAGTTTTATATTGTTCTATAATTGAACTTGTGAAAAATTTATTCTTGTAACTAAATTACGGCTATTTTCGTTTAAATGTTCGACTGCCTTTTTTTATAATATCCAGTGACGGGACGAACAAGTCGTGGGCCGGATGGTAAGCTGATGGTAAACACAGTAATGTGGACATTACTGCTTGGCGGCAGAAATAGGTAAGGTGGCAGTACTACTCTGGACGAACTCTTTCACAAGAAGCTCTACTGCTACTAAATGGCTACGTGCCTTCAGAAGTGAAGCTTTTGTTCGGCTTGACAGATAGGTGGGGGTAAATATAATACAGCTTTATTTTTAGACATACCAAAGCACAGTTTAGTAAGTGTAAATAAATAAGTATATAACTTAGATCAATGGCACTTAATGGACTATTGAAATGTTTTTGATGATAGAGCAAGAGTGTGCATTTGACCTCGAACTCACCTGATGGAAAGTGACGATGAGGTCGACGATGGAGCGTGTACACCTAAATAATGACCACTCACTCTCGCCTTGAAAAGGTTCAAGATATAGCGTTCAGGGATTATGTCTGTAGGCAAGGAAGTTCACTCCATACCCATAGGCCATATAAGTGCGGAAGCGTAAAGCTTCGTGCTAATCTTTGGAATATTCAAAACATAAGGTTTTAACCGCAGTCTACGTCAAGTCCCATGATGAGGGAAAGGTGAAGGTGAAATGAAATCGTGCAATTTCATGAAAATTTTGTTTAGTAGTATTATTAAACAAAATTTCGTAAAAAAAATACCTACCTCCTACATCCTTTATATCTCTTCTCTTGACATTAACCCATTTACCAGTCATATCCATATTTGACTAATTTCAAACTTTACTCGTGGCACATAGTATCGAATAGACTCGACCTACAGGTTAGTAAGCCATTACTTCTAATGGCAATAATGCTTTGTAAGGTTCGTAATGATAATGTTTGACTTTTCCATCAATCCACTTGAACTTCTTTCAAAACGGTTTGCGTGTTTGCTATTGGCGTTTGTTTAATCTTATTATTACCTGTACTCATTGTGGGCTTAGGGCTTTAGTTGTATCTCGTATCTATACTAACAAAAATAATTGGTTGTTAGTGTATTTGTCCCGTACGTTTAATGCAATCTTGTGATAGATATGGCGTGCATTTAAAAGTTTTCAATACCTAAACATGAAGCCTATGGGGTAATTCACGTAATCAAATCGTTATGATATCGTAGCGATTTAGTCGTTGAACTGCTTTTTCGTATTCACGTGTGACAATCGAATGTCAATGGTCCAATTTTAAAGTCGTTCGATCCAAATATCGTTAAAGCGTATTCTGGTATATGAACCAAACTTAAATCGATTCTAAACGACAAGTCATACGTATTCTGTTAAATTTTGACAGTTCAATAGATTTTCGACGACTAAATGTCAAATTTCGCAATCCAAGATGTCGTTCATTAGTCGTTACGTTTCGATTCTTTTCATATCAACGTTCGTTCAAGAGATACGTGAATACCAATTTTGGATAGGACTTCGATCGAACGACTATGTAACTTCAACGATATTTTGATAGCTCGAACTTACGTGAATCGCACTGCTGGTAGGGTATCGCAACATAATAACATTACTATTGTCATAACTTGTTCAAAAGAAACTTGTATGTGATATAAAATGCAAATTCAAAGTAAACATTCATGTTACATTAACATTTCCATTATTAATTTTTCTTATGTATTCACATATTTAATTAATTAATATTATCGATTATTAGCTATTAGGTATATATCAAATAATTTTATTTTAATAATTCTTGCAACTCAGTAGCAGCTTTAAAATAATAAATAAGAATTATTTTAATACAATTTAAATAATTACATTTTTTTTTAATTATTTTATTCTCGTATTTTGTTATGTTTTCAGGGCCATTGCAAAGAGACCGGAATGAACTTAATTTCATGTTGATGTTTGAGCGAGTGAAGTGAGTGTGAGCGCTTTTTCTTAGATGAAGAATGATGATTAAATCATATCATATCAGATGGGCCAGTAATGTAAATTAAATTTGACGGTGAAAAGATTATCTTCCATACTTGGATCTTGTTGGCTCTTGTTGTAACTTGTATCTGGAAAGTCCCCCGAAGCCAGTAGTGTGCCGAAGCGCAAATGATATTCCAAAAAAAAAACTTAGTCATAAAAATTGTAAAACATTATTCATTTCTTATTTAAAAAATAAGTGCGCATTTGATGTCCATGTCACCTGATAGAAAGTGACGATGAGGTCGATGATGGAGGATGCACATCTAAATAATACCTATTCACTCTTGCCTTCTCGCCTTCAAAAGACCCAAGTTATACCATTTAGAGAATAAGTATGCAGGCAGAGAATTCCTACATCATAGCCGTTCGCCATATAAATGTAGAAACGAATTAGTTTCGTATGTATTAGAAGTATAAGAAGTTTGCAACGCAAATAGCTCCCCAGTAGACAGTAAATGCCCTTCAATGATCTTTAATTTAGGTACTATGAAGCAGTAATTATTTTTGGACGCTC